AAATAAAATTTAACCTGATAGTAAAATATTAATAGCTTTCTATATAAATTACACCATGAGTTGATATTCAAAAAACAATCTAAAAATGTAACAAGTTTTCTTAAAGGTTTTATGGATAATAAAAATAATATTTGCATAACCAACTATATATAAAATTTTTATTATTTTTGTTTTAATTTGTTATAGGGTGCAGGCACTTGCCAGAGAGAGAGAGGCAAAGATGTAACATGAGAAAGTAACCCCCAGAGGGATAGCCACACTATCATCCCTTCTCCTCCACTGTCCTCTCGGGATTTGAGGGCACGCGCACACATGTTCCTGGCATGTTTTTCAAGTCACCTGGTCCTGGACTCAAACAGCACTTACAGCCACATGAGATCCAACTGCCCTAACCACAAAGCCACCTGGCTGGCTTAGTTATTTTATTACTTTTAATTTAGTAAAGATGAAACTATTAGTGATGCCTTTTGGTGAGAATTTTTTTATTTACTTAAAATGATAACTTTTCTAAATTTTGAAATCTAAATTAATAGTAATCACGAACATATTTTGACAATAAAGGACAGTGTTATACAGCACAGATAATTTTTATTGACTTATCTAAATTAAGTCATTTGCCCTTTTTAATACACTTTAATAATCAAAACCTTTAAAGAAAAACATCATGGGGGCATTTATCCATGAGAAAGGTGATGTGAAACCTTAAGTCAGGCCTCCCTATATTAAAAAAATAAATAAAATTTTATACATAAAAATAAAATTTCCTAGTAAACTCAAAGATACAGGCAGTTGCTAGTTTTGTTTTAATTTGCCAGAGAATGTATGCCCCCACCAGAGAGAGACAGAGAGAGAGGGAGGAAGCACCCCCACAATAGGATGCGGTCATGCTGAAATCCCTTCTCCTCTTCTCTATTCCGTAAGAATTTGAGGCATGCACTTTACATGTACCTGGCATGTTTCTCAAATTACTGGGTCCAGGACTTAAATCACATGGTTGGCCATGTGGGATCTGGTCCCTTTAGGCCATGCACTGGCCCACAGGCTTTTAATTTTAAGTAACATATCATATTTGAAATAGTCTCATAATCTGAATAAAAACTTAAATACAGCTGTGCTTTTAGTAAATTCCTATCACTGAACTTTAACATTTAAAATGTAGATCCTCAAGACTATTGGTAAATAATTCTCTAGATATTTTATTTAAATAATATCTAAATTCAGTTGTGAGCATCCCTTAATGATACCGTCAAAATAAACTATTACCAAAATGATATTCAACTTTTCAATTAAAATGCATACTCAAATTGACAAGTGTCCACCGGAAGTTAGTGACACTGTAATTCCAAGCACGACAGGCTGTGAGATTTCTAGAGTTGGGCTGGAAGAAGCCTGTACCTCTGTCAAACTGAGAGCCCGGGGGTCTTCGTCTTCCCTCCTAAATTAAGTATCACATTTCTTTGTTGAGGTGGTTCTGGAGAATTGCCACAATTAGCCTATCAACAAGGAGGGCTTCAATAATAAGAAATAAGAGGCACAGTATCCTCTTTCATCATCCATTGTCTAGAACCAAGAAATAAACCTGACAAGCTCAACAAAACCAAAGTAAAAAAATCACAAACTTTGCATTTTATTCAATTCCCATAAAATAAATAGCCTCAAGATGCCCACAATTTTAAATTACTTTAAAACACGGGATGTCAAATATGAGTATGTAATCGAGTCACCTGCAGAGGTGAGAGGAAGACTGCTGGGCCCAGCTCCCAGAGATTACAATTCAGTGGGGAAGGTGGGCCCTTCTCCTTCAACTGAAGAGCCTCTGCCCCACACCTCTCCTTCCAGCCCAAACTCCTAGCCAGACAGGACAATCCCTATCTTCTTTCTGTCTCTGTCTCTGTCTCTCTTTGTCTCTCTTTCTCTCTCTCTATATATATATAGATATATAGATATAGATATACATATAGATATTCTTTTAGGGAAAAAAATTCAGTGAGTCGGAAGCAGATAATCTGCATTTCTAGTGAATTCCCAGTGACGCTCATACCTGCTGCTCCCAGGACCACAGCTCAAACAGCAGTTTTTTTGACAATCCCAGTTTCATGAGGTACCACAATGCAGGCACTTCTCTGTTGCTACATATTTGTTTCCAAATACATGTTTCTATAAATAATGTTTCAACAAGCACCTCCCTATATCATGAAAAGGTTCTCTTTTTTTTTTCCTTTAATGCCAGAGGGTGCATACCCATGCACAAAATGAGGGTGTGTATCCCTCAATGCTGTGCTACTTTTCCCTCCAAGTCTCTATCTTAGAAGTTTCCTGGGAGTGTGTGTGCTGACGGGGCTGGGATTCAAAACCCAGTCGTCCATGTGGGATCCCACTTGCTGTTGTACAGCCCCTAACCACAGTACGACAGGACCGGCCTAGACACTTAAGTTCCTGACAAACAGTGCCAGTTGAATTTCTAAAATACGGTATCAAATTACATTCCCTACTCCTACCTGTATGTCAGAGTGACCACATTATCAGCTCTGTCTTACTTGGGATCTTGTCAGTTTTTATGGACTGTTGTCAACTATATTTAATAGGAAACAAAAAGCTGTCTCAGTTTAGTTTGCATTTTCTTGACTATTAGTAAACCTTTTTACTTATTTATTAGCAATTTATATTTCATTTACTTGAATTGTGTGTTAATATTGCTCACTCTTCTTTGTTTCCGTTAGTGAGTTAGCATCTAAATTGTTTATTGGTTAAAGCATTCTCTAGCATATTGTTTGCAAGTAATTTTGTCATTTGCTATTTAAACTTTTCATTGTTTATGTTATTTGCCATAAGAGTTTGAAAGTTAGGAATAAGCTAATCTACCAAGCTCTTTCCTGATCTTCCACTGCTATTAAACTGAGAAAGTCATTCATTACCAAAATAAAATAAAAATTCATGTATAGCTTTAAATCTTTTATACTGAACATTTATTATTTAAATTTATTTTAATAGAAAAATGAGATAAAGGAGGGCCAGCAAGTGGCATGGTGATTAAGGAGCTAGACTCCCACATGGTAGACCACAGCTTTTAACTCCCAGACCTGGAAGCTTGACAGTCACGCTGGGTGTGTGTGTCTACCCTGGTGGGATAGACTGGAGAACGGGATTGCAGTGTGACTGTCTCCTTTGGGACGTGATTTCTTACGTTCCCTCTTATCTATCCCTGGTGAGTGCATGTGCCCAATGGCAAAAACTTTACAAAGTAATTTATAGAGATAAATATCTGACTTTTATCTTTTTCTACAAATTGTTAACTAATTCCACAACACATTTCCTTTCTACAAGAATATGTAATGTCATTACACCAAAGATTCAAAATATTGGGTTGTTGAAAGGCATGATACATTTTCCGCGGTTCGCATCCCAGACCCGGTGGCTTGAAACTCACGCTGGGCGCGTGTGCGTGCGTGACCAAGATCCCAAGAGGAGATAGAGGAGAAGGGATTGTGGCATGACCATCCCCCCGGGGGGTGATTTCTCGCTTTCTGTCTGTATGTCTCTCTCTGTCTGTCTGGCGAGCACACACGCCCTATAGCGAAAATCTCTCAAAAAAAAGAAAGTCATGATACATTTTTGAGGGACCAGCAGTTAGCGTAATGGCTATGTCGCTGGACTCCCATGTAGTTGACCGCGGTTCGCGTCCCGGCACTGGTGGCTTAAAACTCACACCGGGCGCATGTACATGCGTGCCCAAGATCCTGAGAGAACGGAGGAGAAGGGAATGCGGCGGGGCCATCCCCCCGGTGGGGGTGATTTCTCGCTTTCTATCTCTCTGTCTCTCTCTGTCTGGTGAGCGCACGCGCCCTATAGCAAAAAAAAAAAAAAAAAAAAAAAAAAAAAAAAAAACAAAAACAAAAACAAAACTCTTAAAAAAAAAAAAAAAAGGCCATGATACATTTTTGAATAGAAAAAATACGCCTTGACTTTTCTGACAATCTAATATATAGACGAAGACTGTCTACCCTGTTCCAGCTAAGTATCTAGCAAAGACTGCACCATTATGACATTGTTTCAAATACCATAGTTTTATCAGTACATTCTGACATGTCTGAGACATATACCTGGTCTCAGTTTTCACACTGTAAAATGGGTCTGTGTCTACCTGATAAGCTTGCCATGAGGAATTAGGTCATTTTTCTATGCAAAAATTTGTCAAGACTGTTCTGACGACCCAATATATAACTATATGTTATCATCTACATCTATCTAGAGTATTACTACTAATGGTCTTTTCAAATAATAAGTTCTCAGGGAGAAATAAAATTAAAATAAATAAAACAGAGCTGTATTAGTTATGGATGAATGATTTCATGTTACACAAAATGTCCAATGGACTCAACACTGGTACAAATATTTTTTGAGTAGAAACGTTCCTTCTAGCTCATTTGAGTAAAAGAAAGACCAAGTCAGTGCTCGCCTGCTAATCAAACAAAGAAAAACAGTGTGGTAAAATGCTCCTTAAATCCACGCAAGCCTTTAGTGCCTTAGAGCCATGCAAAAGGTTCATGAAGCTAGCTTCATAAGTAGAGTCAATTTTATTGCTCCTAACCCCTTTATAACAAGATTTCACAAAGAAAAGATATTGAAAGAATAGAATGAGAATACAAACCTTAGGTTCGTTTCGGTTCTAAAATGTACATATTAAACACATTGCTGTCCTAATACAGGAAGAATTCAGAAAACAGAAAACATTCCCATTCATGGAAGCTGTCAATTAAAAATGACTTACATTATATATATTATGATAAATTTGGCACCCAAAAGGTATTAGTACCACAGCCTCAAATAGCGTAAAAGTACCTAGATAGATTACCTGTATGCTACAAAAATCATACAATTTATTAGTAGTAAAGATATTACAGAATAGTTTTTCCAAACCCTTCAAAAATAGAATTAGAACTTAAGGCTCAAAAGCTAAATCCCAAAACTCGACCTTTCGTCTCAATTAAATCTGAACTTACTTTAGCATGTCACTGGTTTCCTGTTCACTGTCCTGTGTGGTATCTGAAGAGAAGGCATCAGAGAGGTCAGTGGAGTTGGACTCCTGCGCTTCTACTGACAGTGGCTGGGCTCCGAGGGAGCCACTGGAAATCTCTTTCTCCCTGATTCCTTCTTCATGGTGGTCGCTGAGGTTCTGTAAATCTTTCTCAGTTTTATCATGATCATCTTTGAAAGAAGACTGCTTGGCCTCACCAAGAGATGATTTTCCTGAGATGTTGAACAAGTTGCCAAGAAATTGAAAAAAGCTTTCTTTTGGTTGTTTATCACTTTCTCCTATTTTGGTATCTGAAGTGGAATTAGGAAGGTCATTTGGCTTTTTGAGATCTTCCTGCCTTGGAAGAGTGATTGGCTTCTCGGCATGATTCCTTTTGTCCTCACTTTGGGGAGTCTTTGAAAAAAAAAAGAAAAAAAAATCAGAATAATAAACATTACCATACAAAAAATAGAACGGATCGACTAAAAAGCTGACAAAGCCTGCACTGAACACCAGGGATAGACTGGTGAATGAGACCAAGGCTTCTGTTCCTTGGGCAATTTACTATCCTCTGAAAAGCACAGTCAACACAATTTTAACAAGGCTAAGTGATAAATGTCATGAAGGGAGAAGAACAGCACCCCTAGGAACCCAAATCGGAGTAACCAGGTCAGATTTGGGGGAGGTGAGAGCAGAGCAGAGGAGGTGGGGGTGGGGAAGAAGCACACAATCTGAAGACCTAAAAAGTGACCAGATGATGCACAATGCATCAACTTTTTCAGGGAGTTTAGAATGGCTGAAACTTAGATACAAAAAAGCAAAGAGCAACAGTAGAGAGATAGATTATATATATTTAAATTTACCCTTTATTTTTATAGAGCTAATAGAAGGTATTTCAAACACCTTCTGCATTGGACAAGTAACACCTGAACAGACCATATTCAGAAATGCATTAACCCATGAAGCTGTCACATTATGTAAAAGTGTTGCTCAAGAAGGTGAGGAAAGACATTACCATGATACTTCAACTCAAACAAAAAGCCTATTCGACCCCTTCACGGTAAAACAGTAAGTCCTGATAATGCATTAATACAAACCACTGACAGCAGCGGGCATCTCCTTGCAGACATTAAACACTTCTAGAAGTGCATTCCACTTGCTCATAATGAAGTTACTGAAACAGCAAATTCACATTCATATATACTGTGTGAGGAAAACCTGAGCTGCTGTATCAAATAGCATGCTGGCAGTCATTCCGCCTCATATTCTTCCTGGATTCAAAAAGCTTTGGGAATGGGACCATCAAGTGGCATGGTGGTTAAGGCACTGGACTCCCACGTGGCCAGCCGTGGTTCGAGTCCCAGACCCTGTTGATTGAAACAGGCCAGGCACACATTGTGTGCATATCTAAAATCACAAGAGGAGAACGGAGGAGAAGGGATTATATATAGCATGGCCAACCCCCTGGGGAGGGGGTTGATTTCTTACTTTCCCTCTCATTGTCTTTCTCCCTCTCTCTCTCTCTCTTTCTCTCCAGTGAGTGAACATACCTTATAACAAAAACCTTAAAAAAAAAAAAAAGAAGCTTTGGGTCAATATTTCTTATTCACCCTGCCTTCCAAACATGTTCTCATATACTTGCAAAGAGAAATCCTGTCCATGGCATCTGTCACCTGTCAGGCTCACTTGTCCTGATAAAAGGATGCTTCAAAAAATTCAGAATATCAAGTAAAAACCACCTTAGGACACTAGGCCCTGTGGATTCACATGACAAAGATTTTTAAAAAGTCGATCTTCGGGGACCAGCCAATGGCGTAATGGTTACATTACTGGACTCCCACGTAGTTGACCACAGTTTGAGTCCTGGACCCAGTGGCTTAAAATTCATGGTGGGCATGTGTACGTGCATGCCCAAAATCCCGAGAGGAGAATGGAGGAGAAAGGACTGTGGCATGGCCATACACCCCGGGGAGGAAGGGAGATGATTTCTCACTTTTTGTCTCTCTGTCTCGTCTGTCTGGCAAGCGCATGTTCCCTTTAGCAAAAAATCTGTCTCTCTCAAAAAAAAAGGAAGTTGATCTTCAAAAAACACAAAGCATCATAATCATAATGTCACTTGCTCACCCCATTCCTTATTTTAATCCTAGTTCAAATCAGTTTATGGGAGCACTCCACTAAGCACTAACAAAAGTTAGGAGGTACATGAAAGGTTGAGAAAATGTTTACAACCTATTATCCCAGCAAATAGATTTCAATTAAACAATATTTTTAAATATGTTCCCACCTAGTGTGTCTGGAGGGTAATTTGGGGTAGACACGGAGCATTTTGCCATATAGAAGGACCTTAATATAACTTGAGAGCCCCTACACTTACCACCAGCCTTCTAGAGTCACTTCTACAGGTATCAACTGCACTTTGATTGTACCGTGTCCATCTCACCCATCCAGCCCCTGCTTACTCTGAGAGCTGTGGTACATTAGCTAAGCTGTTCCCCACATAAACAATACAAAGAGCTTCTCAGTTTGATGGTAGGACAGAGGCTAGACCAACATGTTGGAAGTGCTCACATACATGAAAGATACACTTTTTAAAAAAAAATCCTTTAACAATTCTATTTAATTTTGTTATATTTTCTAGCTACTATGTTCCAGTCCTGGGTCAAAATGAACTTAATTTAACTTAATTTGTTCATTTCGTTCAAAATGAATAGAACTGAACTCTGTAGCATGAGTTAATCTTCTCTGTAACTAGTATGAACAACAGCTCATCCTGCAAGCCACTTGATAAAAGTGAACTGTGGGCTGCTCATTAAAATATCATACATATTCTCCAAATGATTTAGAAATTCACAAAAGAGTTCTGTAGAATTGGGGCAATTGTCTAAAAAATGCAAGTTAAGAGAATAAAGAGAGACAGTTTTTGACATCATTAAAATCTCAAGACAAATAATTTCTGTCAAAGTTAGTACTTAGGTCACTGACTCAATTATTTTTACTTGGCCATTCCTTTCAAAGCATAATAGATTGCTTTCCAAGTGAAGGAGGTACATTTTGCTAAATTAATGGTTCGCTGGAGGAGTTAATGTTTTAGAGTTAGATGAAAAATTTTAGTCACTTGTTTCTCCTCTCCTTCAATTTCAGCTTCTTATTCTATAGCTTCCATGTCATAAGTTTACCATAGAACCTTCTTTTTTGGGTTTCCTGAAATGTATCCATTGCTTAATTTTTCTATAGTGAGAAATTTCTATAGGTAAATAAAATACAACAAGAAAAGATTGTAAATTTAGAAACAAAAACAAGCAATAAAGAACACTGCTTCAGAGTAAACAGTGACTATATACTGTCTTTATTTAACTAAAATTGTTAAGTTTGACTTAAAGCAACTATTCTTTGCCCTCAGCCTAGATAACAATGAAGCTCAGCCTGCCACAAGGCACTCTCTAGGTGGGGCTGATGCCTATCTGCCAACAGACTGTTTGTCATAGTCCAAGGTGTGCATTAGAACTCAGGATTTCAGCAAACACTGGCAAAACATCACTCCCATCAATTTGCTCCCAAAGAACTTGATATTATGCATACAACATATGAATGCTATTGATGAAGACATATGTATCTTAGGAATTTCTAATTTTCTCTCTTCATATTCAATATATTGTAATGCACTACCTTCAGTCTAAATCCATCTACTCTCTGTGCTATGTATCCAAAGCCAGGAAATATAAAAAAATTAAGGTACACTGATTAGTAGGACTTAGCTGCAGCTTTCAAGGAGCTTATAGTCTGGTAAGATACTCATTTTATTGCTGAGTGGGGCTTTAATGAGGTATATACAAAATGGAGACCATCTTTAACATGGCTCGAATGGGAAGAAAGAGGAGGTAACATCTGAGCTTGCCCCTGAAGGGTAGGAAGAACATTTTAGACACAAGGTTTAATGTACACGAAGACAAATATTTGCTCGAATATTTGAACTATGTTTACTATGGCAAGAGTGTGATTGAAGAAGAATGAAACACAACACATAGAGAATGAGGTTGATAAGAGACCAAGAAGAAGTGGATGGTAAGAGATAACAGTCAGAGATGACTCAGTTCTCTAAACTGGGTAACTATTTGATAAGTTAAGCAAAAAACAGATACTGGAAACAGAAGGCAAAGTAAGAATTGGGGCCTTTGAAGGAAGGAAGGAAGGGGAATGAATTATTTGGATAGTGAACACATATTGAATTTTGGCCCCCGGTGATGTACAAGCTGACATGTCTCATGAATAGCAGCACAGTTAAGACTCAATCTGGCAATACAGATGTATGCAGGGAAAAAAGAGGACCAAGAAAATGGCTCTAAAGGAAGAAAAGATTAAAAGGTAGGCATAAAGAAGAGAAGAAAATAGTTAAGGAGATGAAGAAGTCTAAAACTAGACTAGGTTATTCCCTTCAGAATACTGATTTCTGAAGGCAAAGAACAAAGGATACTTTCAAAAGCCGAGAAGAGTAATGGATGTCCAAAGCCATTGTCAAGTCAAGAAAGATGACTACCCTCCTCACTTATCTTCAAAACCATCAGGCATAATCCTGCAATGAGAATTTTGCATTGACTCCTCATTCTGCTTAAAATGTTCTTCCTCTGGACAGAAATTGCATCACTTCCTCTGAGTTCCTTCAAACCTTTCCTTAAAAGCCACCTCATTTAAAGGTCCCCCTCACTATGTAAGTCAGCAAATTCTTCCACTCTGAAAATGTCTATACCTCTTCTCTGTTTTACTCTTAGCCTTGTAACTTCCACCAAATACATCAATATTTACATATATACCCATATACTCACTTTTATATCATTTAATATCTGTTTCTTCCTCTGGAAAGTAGATCCACAAGAGTAGTGATTTCTGTATGTTTTATGCATTGCAGCACCTCTAGCACATTGAAATGTGCTTTACAATAAGAGGGGCTCAATATTTGTTGAAATAATAGATGAAGAAATGAGGACTGTGGGAAAGCCATAAGAATGCAGGAGAAATCATCCTAACAGCTCAGGAATTTATGAGTCCAACCCCAAACTTAAGGTGTTGAGCAGTAAATTGGCAGCAAGGAAACAGAAGCAGTCACTAAGTAAACTAGTCATTAAGTGACATTAGAAGGAAGACAAAAGACAATGTTTCAGTTCTAAGACTGAAGTGGCTTTTTGTTCGTTTTGTGAATTCGCTTTACACTTGTTGGAAAGGGAGTAAGTGATTACAGTACGAGAGAGACAGATGACAGGGTCCAGAAGGAAAGACAGAAGGTGATGAGATGAAGAGAGCAATATAGTCTCTTAAACCTCTAATCAAGGAAACCTATTAGCCTTAGTGAAGAGTAGGGATATTGCCTCTTCAAGGCCGGCAGGAAGGAGAGGGGCTGAAGCCTGAGCAGTTCTGTAATG